CTATGGGCTAGACTCCCCTGTCACTTGTTCCCTTGCCCCTTGTCTCCCTTGTGCCTATCCCCCTCACTCCCTACCTCTCTGCTCCCCCATGTAGCTTCCCTGCTCCCCATGCCTGCCTCTGCCTCCACTCTCTGCCCACTCCCCCTTTACCTTCTGTTGTGCCCAGCCTAGCTAGGCAGAAGTGGCAACAGCTCACAGCTTAGCAGGGTGGGTCAGGGCTAGAGGGACCAGAGCTGGAGCAGAAGGTAAAGGGGGAGAGGACAGCTGGGGGGAAGATTGCAGGGGGGGGGGGGCAGGTTGCAGGGGGCCTGGCACAGGGACAGGAGGTGGGGGGCAGGCACAGGCATGGGGGCCAGGGGGGAAGGCTGCAAGTTCTCCCCCATGAGGGGGAGACCTTTTGGGGGGTTTGAAGCAATATGGTAAATCTCTCAGGATGCAAGGGGCCTAGAACAGAGGCAGGCAGTTATTTCAGCTGGAGGGTCACTTTACTACTTTTGGTAAGCTGTCAAGGGCTGCATGGGTAGCCCCACCCCTTGACAGTTGCCCTATCCCCTGGTTGCCATCTTGTTGTCAGAAGTCCTGCCCCCTAATCCCTGCCTTATGCCACCAGAAATCCCTCCCTTTGCCCCTGGAAATAGTCCTTTTGGGAGGGGGTACTATGGCCTTGGAACTGGAAGGTACGCTCTGTCACGTGGTCTGTGTTGGGTAGGCAACATTTTTTGGCTGAAGCACCAGTGTCTATGTGTACAATGTCTATCTTGTAAGGTGCTGGAGTGCCGGCATGCCAAAAAAGACTGGGGGAGGGGATATGTGGCAGGATGCACTGCATATTAATATAGTTAATAATCATAGGTATTTTTTTATGGTAAATACCAGGTTTTCTAAAAATTCTAAACCTGGTGACAGTACATAAAATTTCATAGAGGGGGAAAAGGGAGAGAAGAGAGTGGGGAGAGTGATGGGAGAGGCTTTGGGGTGTTCCTGGCTCATCCTCTGTACACGCTGGGCACAGCGTGAGTGGGCGAGTGGGCTGTGGCAGGAGCCCCCAGAGCTCTGGGAACAGCTGTGCAAAGCTGCGCACTTACCACTGCCAGTCTGGCCTGTTCAGTCCCAAGTGTCACACGGTTCAGCCACCGCTTCTCCTCACTGGTGCCAACTGAGCCGGGCCCATCACATCCTGAGCGGCATGCAGGGAAGCAGTGGCTGGGCCGGCTTTGCTGTGTGCTGCTTGGGACGGGATGGGCCCGGCCAGGTCGGAGAAGTAGCAGCTGAGCCAGATGATCTGTGTACTGCTTCTTCGCATGCTGCTTCGCACAGGCTCAGCCACGGCTTTGTCTCTTTGGTGCCAACCCAGCCAGGCCCAGCCTGTCCCGAGTGGTATGGGGAAGTGGCACGCAGCTCAGCTGGATCAGCTGCCACTTCTCCTCACCAGTGCTGACCTGGCCAGGCCCGTCGTGCCCCGAGTGGCACGTAGCAAAGCCAGCCCAGCTGCTGCTTCCCTGTGTACCACTCAGGATACGATGGGCCCAGCCAAGTTGGCACCGGCGAGGAGAAGTGGTGGCTGAGCCGGTCCCGAGTGGCACATGGCTCAGCTGCCACTTGTTTGCTGGTGCTCACCCAGCCTGTCCCAACCCAAGCAGCATGAAGCAAAGCTGGCCCAGCTGCTGCGTCCCTGTGTACCACTCAGGATGGGCAGGGCTCGGCCGGGAGGGCACCAGCCAGGAGAAGTGGTGGTTGAGCTTGGGACCAGCTGGCAGAGGTAAGGGAAGGAACAGCTGAGCTGTGTGCTGCTCCAGCCGGGCCACGCTGGTTCTGAGCTGCACTTGGCTAAGCTGGCTGGGCCTCTACTTCTTGCCAGTGCCGACCTGGTTAGGCCTGTCCTGTCCCATCCTGAGCGGCACACAGCAAAACCAGCCCAGCTGCTGCTTTGCCACATGCTGCTCAGGACAAGATGGGACAGGCCTGGCCAAGTTGGCACCAGTGAGGAGGAGCAGCTGAGTAGTGCGTGCTCCCACCAGTCCCTATAGCCCCTGCTGCTTGCAGCACCGCTCCCCAGGGCCCCCGCCACTCCCTGTGTGGGTGGGCTGGGCGGTGGGTTTGGGCTGAAGCAGGGCTGGCCTTTCTGCTCTGTCAAAGGCTCCTGCTGGGTCCTGCTGCTGCTGGCTGCCTATCATCTTTGACAGGCAGCAAGGGGCAGGTAAAAATTAATTTTCTAAAATTTGTAGAGGCTCTATGGGCTGGATAGAATGGGCTCGTGGGCTGGATGCAGCCCGTGGGCCGTATTTTGCTTGCCCATGGCCTAGAACCTCAGTCTCCCAATTTGTGGGTAAGTACTCTTACTATTGACGTAGTATATAAAATGTGGACAGTGGCATCTTCTCTTGCTGCAAAAAGAATGATTCCATTTTTTAACAAGAATACTTGCTAGGCATCTGGTTTCATGAGTGGACTGTGGGCTGTTGAGTCCAAATAGGTGGAAGTGCCTCCATTGCAGCCTAGATTTAGCCTAAGCTGTGGAGATCAGAATTCCTCTGTCCTCAGTATTTCGTGTTGGCTGGCTCTAAGCAGCACCCTGCTCAAAATTTAGGTATTTTGGATCATCCTTCTGAGGTGTTTACCTCTACAGAGCTTAGGTACTTAACTCTTGGTTATGGATTTTTCTGGAGACCAGGTTCCTAGATTTGTTTTGCAGTGCTGAACTTGTAGGTAACTAGGGTCAGAGCCAAAAGGATGCAAGTTCCTGAATGACACGTCAGTATTCTCACTTTCCTTTTCTGCTTCTCTTGCTTTATGGTGTTGAAGGTCAATAAAGTTTCATTATTGAAGAGAAAAGGGATCATTCTGGAGCAAATCTAACTTTACTTCCAGTGTTATAGTTCTAGTTTTATGTCGGTTTCAATATAAAATGATTGGTTCTTATATTCCTGTGCACGATTTTATGATGCCATGTTGTTTTGTACTTGTTGCATTTCCAGTTTAAAGACTGCTTTTTTTTTCTTTTTAATCCTGTGGACTACAGGATTGGTTTGAAGACATGAAGGGACATATTCAAGCTAATATAGTTTGTTTGGTTTTTTTAATGGATTAAAAATAGCTTCGGATGCAGCACATGCTTTTGTGCCCTATTGCAGACTTTTGTTTTACAGTCATGCTTGCCTGTTTTAAGTGTTTCTTGTCTCATTCTATAAGGTTAGTGTAGACTAGCTGGAATGATTGGTGCTGTTGGTTATAACCTGGATTCTGCTTTTAACCTGCACTAGGAAGTGGCCCACTTCATAGTGTACATGCAAACTGTGTTCAGGTGCTGATAATCCTTGGGTGCCCTCTCTCAGTTAGTCTGCCCAGAATGACAGACGAAGTGTACCACAGACCACTAGGAAAGAATCATAAACTAGTTAATCTTGTTGCTCCAGAAAGAATCATGGGATATATCCCTCAAAGCTGTAGTGATGCATAGGGAAATACAGCATTGGTGACACGGTGTAGTAGAAGTGCACTGATATATCGGTTGCATATCCAATCAACACCGATAAAAGGAAAATTAACATTATCAGCTATCAGGTTTTTTTGGCCAGCGTAGCCGATAATGTCACCGATAAATATGATATGCCTTCTGGCCAAGGCCTCTGAACACTACGTGCATGCATGCAGCCACATGCATGCACGTGGCCAGGAATGCAGCTGGGCAGCATGGAGAGCAGTGCCCTGCAGGTAAGTCTGTGGAAGAGAAGAGACGTAGGAGGGGAAGGTTTTGGGGGGAAGCAGATTGAAGCCCCCATGGTGAAGGAGGGAGTGGGGCAGGGGCTGGGGGCACTGCCTAGCCAGGGCAGTAAATGGGACCTAGCGCCAGGGTAGGGAGCAGATTGGAGCCCTGGGTGGCTCTTTTGGCGGGGGGGGAAGGGGGAGGAGTGGGCAGAGGGTGTGGCTCCCCACTGCTGTGCATACTCCCTAGAGGGCATGGGGGAGGCATGTGCTTCCCCCAGATTTGTGCATGGGGCAGATGCAGGCTGTTTGCTGTGGGCTCAGGGCTTTCCACTTGTGCGGGCCGGCTCTCGGTCCCATGCGAGCCGGGCCCGTCTGTGTGCACGCGGGCTGTGGCCGGCAGCCCGGGCACGCGGGGCCGGAGAAAAGCCGCGGGGTGGAGTAGTACGCTCGAGCTAGAATTGGTCACGGAGGCGTAATGGTTGATTGAAAAGATTATTTACTTACACCGGAGATGGTCGCAGTGCAGGCTGGACAGTTTCCAGGTGCAGCTCCGCTTCAGTCCTCGTTGGAGGACTCTAAAACTCGGTTCCCAGGATCCTCGGAGTGGTTCAGACTCCGTGGTTTCGATAACTGGGTTCTAGGGTAGGGATTCGTCTGGACTGCGATCGGTGACGGGGAGAGGCTAGAGGCTGTCGGTGAGCGGTGCCCCGGAGTTTGCTAGGCTCCGGGGGTTCGGCAATTGGAGCCTCTATTGCCTTCTTAAGAAAGACGCGCTGGGTTCGAAAGGACTCACAGCGCTTAGAGATCCGTCTCTCCGTCTCTCTTTCCGTCTCTCTCTCTGTCTTTCTCTCCAACTTGGGCGGAAACCACCCAAGCCTTTTGTATGGCTAGCAAGCCAATAGCTAGCCGCCACGTGTGCCTAAATTAAGACCGGCCAATAATGTGACTCAAATCTCAATACAAAAGGCGGGAACTCCTTTGCAGCGTGCATCACTATAATGCAAGAGAAATGCACAATGCAAAGAAGGCTACAAAACGGCGGGAAACACTTTTCTGCACGCGGGTTCTCTATAACAACGGAACATTCCATTGTGCAAAAGAGCTGCAATTCAGCGGGAACATAATTTAGCAGTGCCGAAGCACACTCAATCAAAAAATCTACAACTTTGGGTTGTGACATCCCCCCTTGCTGAGAGCATAGCTAAATTATGCTATATACTCTATTTAGAAAACTTGTTGTGAGTCGTCCAACGAGCAAACAAACAAACAAACACAAAATTCACTGTCCTGGAATTGAGTTACATAACAATCAAAACAATGATCAACACAAACACACAATTAGATCCTCGGATTATGATATCAAGCGGGGCTTGTTGAAGGCAGAACTGTATCAAACCGCATGTTCATTACTTAAGAATCTGTCAATACAAGGAGTTCGTCCTCCAAAGACCGAATCAAACAACAACCTATATAAACACACATACACATAATTAAATTCAGAACGAAGAACTGTACGATCAGGGCTTCAGTAGGCGTCACGGCAAAGTCACACGTCAAGTCCTCTCTTCTATCAATGATGTTATCCCTCTCAGGGCTTCTCTTTGCCACGCGCTCTGGATCTCGGATCTGTAAACAGAAACTTATAAAACAGATTAATGATCTTATCTAACAAACTTAAACAATCTCTATGACTCAATTGGATGAAACCGTTGAGGATCCATCATCCTGTTCTTCTAAATAACGAAAACCTAACTCATAAGCCAATCGCCATTGACCCGCATCTCCCAAAATTCGAAGCTGTCGCTTCGTGAGTCCAGAACGCTGTAGGAGAAATCCAAACATGTATCGCTCCTCTAGGGTTCTCGGTGGTCGGTTGGACTCGCGACGTCT